TCCTAAAACAAAGCAACATTTATTTTGATTGTGATGTAATATGTATGTATGTAGGCTGGATTATTGTAACTCTTTATTATCAGGGTGTACCAAGAAGTCAGTCAAGTCGCTTCAGCTGATTCAAAATGCTGCAGCTCGTGTACTAACCAGAGTTAGGAAAAGGGACCACATTACTCCTGTTCTGGCTGCCTTACACTGGCTCCCTATAGAACACAGGATAGAAAATAAAATTCTTCTTCTCGCCTACAAAGCCCTTAATGGGCAGGCGCCATCTTACCTTAAAGAACTCATTATACCCTACTGTCCTATTAGGGCATTGCGTTCCAAGAATGCAGGGTTGTTGGTTGTTCCTAGAGTCTCTAAAAGTACAATGGGAGCCAGAGCCTTTTCTTATCAAGCTCCACATTTGTGGAATCAGCTTCCAGTTTGTGTTCGGGCGGCAGACACCCTATCCGTTTTTAAGAGTGCGCTTAAGACCTTCCTTTTTGATAAAGCTTATAGTTAGGGCTGATTAGATTCAGCCCCTAGTTTTGCTGATATAGGCTTAGTTTGTCGGGGGACATCTTACTTCTTCCTTCTCTCTGTCTATACCTGTGTACTCTCATGTTCCGATTAACCCAGCTTCCCCAAATGTCTTTCTTTTTGGTGTCTGTATACGCCGGGATCCGGAGTCATGGATGATCCTGCGGTCCTGTGTCCTGCATCGTGAGCCCTGTATCTTGAGTCGTGGCTGTGGTCCTGGATCATAGGTCCTGGATGGATATCCTCGTGGATTCATCTTCCTATTATACATACATACATTTCCAAACATTTGGACTACCTATGTTGCAAATGTATTATCTTTTCAATTTACACACGACATCTATTGCACGTCTGTCCGTCCTGGGAGAGGGATCCCTCCTCTGTTGCTCTCCCTGAGGTTTCTCCCATTTTTCCCTTTAAACTGTGGGTTTTCTTTGGAAGTTTTTCCTTGTACGATGTGAGGGTCTAAGGATAGAGGGTGTCGTATTGTCATACTGATATTCTGTACACACTGTGAAGACCACTGAGACAAATGTAACATTTGTGATATTGGGCTATATAAATAAACATTGATTGATTGATTGATATGTGATTTGCAGCAAATGACAAAAAGTGTTTTCAAGTGTTTTTTGGTTTTCCTGCAGACGTTGCTAAAATATTTTGGCTGTGACGATCAGAGCAAATGGCCAACTGACTGATGGTAACAACACCAAGACAGCAGGTAAGAGAGGAAAGCAAGGTGAGTAGAAGGAGGAAGAGAGAGATGGATGTGTGATTAGAATCGGTCTGATCAGTCATCACAATGACAGAAGGTGAGAAATACAGACAGACTTCAGCAGTAGGGCTCTCATATTTTTATGTCAAAAGAAAATTACCAGATAAATATATAGCTCTCAATTAAAATAAGATCATGTCTCATAGCACAAATTCTTAGATGGGATAAAGTACAGAACTTTATTCTGAACCAAGTCTTGATTTGATCACTTATTCCACAAGCATCTATTTCATGAACAAAAGCCGAATATTCCTAATTTCAGTGGCAGTATCTTTGTCAAATTAAATAGTAGATAACACACTGTCTAAGAGGAAGCTACAGTAAGTCAACAGCGCTCAGCGCGAGTGGATAAAAGCTATTGATCTGCAATCAACACGCTCCGTTTGAAACGTCTGAGGTAAAGCCTCCTCACAAATGTCAATGGCATTTGAAGGAATCAATGAACACTCCTCCTTCAGACGCATCTCATTAATGCGTTGGCGCGCAGAAAGGCTGCTCGCCGTAAATCAGCCACTTTATTGTCAGTAGTTAACAGAGACAAGACCAAAGTTGATAGAGGAGCAGAGAAACTCATAACGCAAGCAGCTTCGGCAAAGACACCACTTTATAGCACGAGTGTCTGTGGTGTGTGTGTGTGTGTGTGTGTGTGTGTGTGTGTGTGTGTGTGTGTGTGTGTGTGTGTGTGTGTGTGTGTGTGTGTGTGTGTGTGTGTGTGTGTGTGTGTGTGTGTGGGGGCTTTTCATCCACTCCAGTTACTAATCACAGTCTCATTCTCTCTCCCCCTGCATAATTCTCCCCCTCGCCTTTATAAATCTTTCCTCCCTCTCCACCTCTTCCTCTCTTTCTGAGGGCAGAGACAGCAGATGTGTTGGCAGCCTAAATGACCTCTGTGATGTATGACTTAACAAACCCTAGGCATCCATCAACCCTAGTGTGTGTGTGTGTGTGTGTGTGTGTGTAACAAAGAGAGAGAGAGATGCTCATAAAGTACAATTTTAATTCACCTTCAGCCCAAACTTGTGCCTTACAAACACCCGTAGAGGCCTCTCTTCTCCTCACCCAGAAATCCATCCCGTTTCCCCTCTCATTTCATGAATGAGTGTGTGTATGTAGATGTGCTGTATACATGAATGTGAATGAAGCGCCTCAACAGAGTGATTACATTGGCCAGGATTCCCTCAGTCTGCTGCATAGATAGACTGAGCCCTGCATGTGTGTGTGTGCAGTAAACCTTACATGACGTGAGACCATAGCAAAAGTTTGAGAGAGTTAGTCAAAGAAAGTGAGTTTGCATGAGGAACAAGAGGGGGTTTCGGTGCTTATTGATCCTTTATTGTCACTCCAGTGGGGATATTGTAAATTGCTTATGTGAAAGATTTCATCACAGCAACCAGAACACGTTTCCCCAGCTCTGCTGCCACGGTCGTCCATCAGCTCCACGCTGACAGACGACGGACGTGCCCTCTCCACGCAGTAATTACAGGAAGCCAGGCAGGAGCTGCTCCAGGCACATCCTGGCACACCGCTCACCTGGATGACTTTTTCCTCTCTCAATTTGTTTTAAGGCTTGAGCTTAAAGGGCATAAAAAGACAAAATCAGGTCAATCTGTCAGAGATAGCCATGTATGGTTTCAGGTACTTTTTATACTCAGGACATATCTTATTTTATGAGTTTAAAGTAGGTTTCCACAATTAAAATATAGGAAAATGTAACACTTAAGTTTGATAAATATATTAAACTACTTTTAATTTAGTTTATTATTCATAATATTGTCTTCAGGGAAAATGTTGTCATGAACTTTAGAATCAGAATTCCTTTGTTGTTCCCACAGCTGGGAAATGTACAACCCTGCTATTTCTAAAAAAAAACAATCCAACACAATGGAAACATATATTTAAACGATAGAAAACCTTAGCATAATTTATTTATTTTTGTCTATGTGTAAAGATTCATCACATGATTTGAGTTTTTTTTTTACTTTTGTCACTGTCGCAACTTGTGACTAACTGAATTCCAGTAAATACTTTATGTAATACTTTACTTTAATCTGGAACCTATTTGTTTAATCTTTCTTTTACACAATTTGATTGGCTAACCCTCTGGTTGTAATGAATATTTTGGGTGTCATGTTTAGCAGCTTGTCTTTTGACTCTCTGATTCTCCTGCTAATTGTCTCAGCAGGGCAGCTGACCAAGATGGCCGCCCTGGACTACTGTGACTCTACTCTGCCAACAAAAGAGAAGTTGAGGAAAACACCAAGGAGAAACAAAATACTTCACCCATCCCTCTCCCCAAGAGGTGCCAGATCTTTATTTCACTCTTTTCACTCTTCTTTTTCTGTCTCAGTGCCCACAAAGTGATTGGAAAGCACACGACAATCTTTTTTTGTTGACGTTCGATGGCGCGTGATAATGTGGTCATTATCATCGCTAAAGGAACAGGTTGGGGCTCAGACAGGGTTTCATTGGGGGCCTTTATGGCACACACACACACACACACACACACACACACACACACACACACACACACACACACACACACACACACACACACACACACACACACACACACACACCAACCCACACTCTCAGTGTGGGAAAATAATGCCTTTAAAAGAGGGACAGCTGTTTGGGTGGCTCGTGAGGATGGCAAGATGGCCTACTGTAAACTCCACCTGTGCACACGGCCATGCCTCAGGCTGTGGGGGAAAGCGCGGGCAGCGTGGGAGCCTGTGATTTTGTCCGGTCCACATGGGAGGTGTGTATGCCGGGCTCCCCAAAATGACACCCAAATAGATGACTAACAGGCACTCCCAGAATTGAGCTTAAAATAAACGTAATCTTCTTTTAACTTCTATAAAAATATAACCTATTTTGACTGTTTATAACCCATTGCTGTATGTTCCTTTAGTATTATTTATACTGAAATCAATACACTAGTTTTTTTTTAAATGTAACTTACAACTTTAATAACTTACAGATACTATTAAAAAAAAAAAAATCATAATCATAATTTATTTTTCCAAATTAAAGACTAGAGATCTCTTACAGGAAGAATTATCCAGACTATTGAAATGTTTTGCTTTTGTATATCAGAAATCAGATGTACCTCCTTATGCTTGTTTTTGCCAAGTATTTAGAATAATCTACATGACCTACATTTTACCAATCTTTATGCATTTTGAAAAATATTTCATTTCAAGAAATAAAATCTAGGCTCTCATGGAATCACCAAAATGAATATTGCGCGCCATCAATCACTCAATTTAAACGTTGTGTGTGTGTGAGAGACTGTGTGTTGGGGGCTGAGTGGATGAGGAATGTGATTAACTTTTCCGTCTATGTGTGTCCAGCTGACTTCATTCAGGCTGGTAATAGAACAATAGAGATGAAGAAAGGGCAAGGAAGCAGTTAATACCAAACAAATGAAGAAAATGGATTAAATCCTGCTGGTTTATTAAATTTGAAATTCAAATGAAATGCTCCCTCTTTGGTTTTGCACATATATTAAGAGGCTGCAGGATCATATAGGTTATTTCCAGAGTGTGCGTCATCATATAGGTTAAACACGAATGATTTAGGATTTCCTATTTACCTGTTTGCATTCAATTGATTAAAGTGTTCCCTCATAGTCATGCAGCTTGAGTCTGAGCTTGGGCCAGTATTTAAATGCTCTATAAAACTGAGGAAAGAACAGGAAGAGGTGTTTTTTGAAAGACAACATTTGTTTTGTGTTGAATGAGATGAAATTGCGGAGGCAGTGGTGGTGTCCTCCCCTCCTTGCCCCAGGGCTGAGTAGATCCGCCCCAGGGACAGGATGGGACGGACTGGGCCTGCCTCTCATTCATCAGCCTTTCCCTTTGTATGGCTCCACAACATCAGTACAAAACAGTTTAAATAGCTAAAACAGCTTATCTATCTGAAACATTCAAAACATTACAGTAATGACTTTTTTTACCAAAAAAGAAAACGTTGTCTAAACCGTCCACAAGGCGCCCCGCTCAAATGTGCTGTTGCTTGTGAGTTTTGTTTGTTAAATTGTGCAAATCTTCACACAAAATTATTGCATTCAAATGTTATTGAATACCACACTGACATAGATCTTTGGTGACTCCGGGCCCTTACATTTTGCCCTCTTTGCCTGGTTCACCATGGAGCTGTTTGAGCTCCAATAAATGATACAAATCTGCATCAAATGATAAAAAATAACAACCAAATAATGACACATCAGCAATTCAGCATACATGTTCAGCCATACCTGTTTGGAGGTAAGTGGTGTGTGTTTTGTTTACATAGCTCCAGTGAATTTATTGTCTGTAACTTCATATATTCTCCCACTTGTTGCAATTTGGAGCGCGCCACTCGCGAGACTTCACTTTTTAAATTTACGACAACGACTTAAGGGGCCAAATATTTAGCAACAATGTGAGCTGGTTTCTGATTGGTACTCCGGCTCTTAGCGGCACTTCAAAGCTAAGAAGACGCTACAACTACCAAAGCAGCGGAGAGGAAACACACACTCATCACAGTCAGTCAGTGCGAGCACACACACTCAGACGAAGATATCACAGACCATGGCTGCTACACTGCTCGGGGTAAGTTTAACATTTTGCCAAAACATCCTTATCCGAGAAATCCTGAAAAATATTGATTTGATTATCCTTTAAGGGCTTTGTTCGTTATTGGAATTCAGGAGACGCAGTTAACTCCGTACATTTTATATTCAACTCCGATAAACTTTAATGTTTATATAATAGGCTTAATATTATAAAATACTTTATTAATCAACATACATCAGTTGTTTTCAATCGTATGTTTTCTTACCTGTTTTCACTGATCATGTCAGAGTTAGTGAACGCTGGCTCATGTCGAGCTATCAGGTAAATGCTTGTTATTGAAGTGAAATTACGAGGCACTGTAAAATACTTATTTTAGAAACCTTGCCATTGTATTGTAATAAATGTAGTTACGATAAAGTGATCGTCTACTATCAATTTAGTTAGTTATTCATAATATGTAAAAGTTGACCTGCCGTATTGTCGGTTGAGTTTGCTGACAATTTGGAGACGCTGCTCCATTGTCTGATGGATCTAATCCAGAGGATCACTGGTTGTAAAGCGTTCACCATGTCACATTCATTCTGGGCTTCATCTGCGATGCCCAAAAAGTTAAGCGCAGTTGTTTAATATGTTGCGCGTCTTTACGCACACCATGTTTAGCCAAGACTCTGTAGTGACCGGTCTAAATGTGTCTGCGTGTTCCCCACAGGAGGAGCCCCGGCTCGGCAGCGCGCCGCTGGCAATGTTGGCCGCCACCTGCAGCAGGATCGGTGAGCCCAGCCCCTCGTGCTCCCCTGCTCTCTCCGATGGAGCCCCAGGATTCGTGAAGGGCTTTCATCCGTGGAAGAGAGGGGCACCTGGACACAGCAGCCTCGGTGCATGCTTCACTTCCCTCGGGGTTCCCCCAACATCCAGGAGTAACGGGACCGGACTGACGGAGAACTCCAGCGCATTCTCAGTGACCAACTCTGCTTTTGGGAATGATTATTCAATGTACCAAACCTGTGTGCCATCAGACAACAATGTTACTGATCCTTCGCACGTACAGAGATCCATGTATCTGACCAAATTCCCCTCCTCGGTGGAGAGCATAACAGGGATGTATCCCAGGATGCACACACATCCCTACGAGTCATGGTTCAAACCAGTGGCAGAAGTCAGTAATGGGTCTGCTGCTTGGTGGGACATGGGAACCAGCTGGGTGGACACACAGAGTACAGCCGGGTTACCCTCTCCTCTGAGCGGCTACAGCACTGAATACAGCTCCGCCTTCGGTCCCGGGGCCTCTCAGCACCTGCACCCCGCCACACAGCACCTGTTTGACGGATTCAGGCCACCCGTCCCGACCCCCTACACAGAGTCAACGACGACAGGAACTCCCGTCGTTTCTCTACCCGCATCTTCCCGCTCCTCCTCAAGGCGTTACTCTGGCAGAGCCACGTGCGACTGCCCGAACTGCCAAGAGGCAGAGAGCCTGGGCCAGGGCGGCACAAGCCCGCGGCGAAGGGGCCTCCACAGCTGCCATATCCCGGGTTGTGGCAAAGTTTACGGCAAGACGTCTCACCTGAAGGCTCACCTGCGCTGGCACACCGGGGAGAGGCCGTTTGTCTGCAATTGGCTGTTCTGCGGGAAACGCTTTACGCGCTCGGATGAGCTCCAGCGGCATTTGCGTACACATACCGGGGAAAAGCGCTTCGAGTGCTCCACGTGCCACAAACGGTTCATGCGCTCAGACCACCTCGCCAAGCACGTGAGGACGCACAGCGCAGATGGCTCAGAGGATGGCGCGGAACCGGGACTCGGTAAAGGCAGCAGCGACACGGACAATAGCCTCTCCGGGAGCCCAAACCAGTCTCCCGGGCTTCACGTCCCAGCCACCGAGGGACAGTCACAGTGTGCTGTGGAATAATTTACAAAACTTAGCAGGAACAAAAGCAACGCGTGGGCATTTTGATCATTGGCGGTTCTAGAGGGGTAACACTGTTGCTTGGACCCCCCTGTGGCCCCCCTCCAAAAGACTAAATCTATGATAATGCAATTTATGAAAGTGTTACAGCCAACACTGTGCTGTAACCTGGTGCAGGAATGTTTTTTTTCAGTAATGTAATTAAATATATTGAAACTAAGTTACTGAAACTAATTATGTTACTAAAACAAATACCAACAAATATTAAGATATCAAATGAAAACAACGTTTGGCTGCATGAATAACGTATTAATTGCCGCAAAATGCATTACGGGTAATGGTAAAGTAAATAACTAAACAAAAATTGCAAGTCATTGACACAAATCCTGTTATTGAAACAAAAACCAATAATGGTATTTTATATTTCCTTGTGCTCTATGATTTTATACTGAACTAAAAAACTCCTTCAGTAACTGGCCCCAGCACCGCCCCCCAGTACTTGGTCTAGAACCGCCATTGGATTTGATTACACTGTACCAGCCTGTATGGAGTGTGTTTTCTCGAACACTTAAAAACAGAAATGGCACTTTACGATGAACTTCAGCTGTGGATAAACACTGTGTCCTTACCTCATCTTATATGTATCCTTCTTTAATAACACATTTGTACTCTACAGTTTTGTTCTGACTTGTGTTATTTGATTACATGTCATATGCAGCTAATTTATTCTACAAAAAACTTTTTTTGTTTAGAATTGAACTGTTACATCATTATATGGGTTATGTTTTTGACATGATCGCGCTACATTTTAATTTATAGAGATGTTTGTTTATAACACTAAATTGTTCTGATTTATCTCTGCCTGTAGGTGATTATACTTACTCAATAAAACAGGACATTTTGGGACATGTCATATTTAGTTTCTCTTTGAACCTTCGTGTGATTTAACTTTTGCATGTTTTTTTACATTATCCTTCACTAAGGAATATTGTTTTTTGAGTTCAAAATATTAAACAGTAAATAACTCTTATCATCCTGACTATCCTAAAATATAAATATATAATTTAATGTAATAATCAAAATTGCAGCAATTAATAATTAACTGCTAGAGTTCATCACATTGTATATGTTTTGACTTGTTTGTCTGGATGTAGCCTATCACTGTTAGCAGACATGCACACGTATATCAAGCAAACTCAAACTTAAGGTAACATTTCAGTTGCGCTCTGGTGTAAAATAAGGCCTGGAGCATGCTGCGAAACGTTAATTTCCCTGATCAAAGTATTGAAATTATATTGAGTTTGCATTGCAATGCTGATAAAAGAATGATATCTGATCGTTAATCAAACATTGTATTCTTTTACACTTCCTCTCTCTGTTGGTTCAATGTTTAAAACGACTCGTCTCAGTTTCCTTAGATTGCATCTCCACCTAGTGTTCACTTTTTATGATCACCCTTCTGTTGGACCACATGGGTTGATCACACATCGAAGTTTTGCACATATTTTGTAGCTTCAAATATATTTTAAAATAATGAAATCTTCACAAAACTAAACAAAAACATTACGTGCAAAATGCAGGGTGGCTTGTAAGAAGGAATCGTGTCTTTCTTCATTTGGAGCTGCCTTATTTTCACGTTTTTCCATAAATCAGCCCAAACTAATTTTCCACAATTACTAAAATAATGTAAAAGAAAATCATACACACAACCTGAAAAACTTAAAAACTCAATAGCTGGTAATTAAAAAATCTTGCACATTTTATTGTGATGAAAACATTCATGCTACACAACTAGTCACATTATTTGCCAGCAAAACTACACATGAAAGTGCTGTTGTTACTCCGAACTCAGTGCCGGGTTAGATGAGATGATTATAGCCTTATTGCTGAATCATTCTCATGGTTAAAGATAGATTGGTCTTCATAAACACAAACTGTTCTTGCAGCCTATAACTCAAGTAGCCTTATCATAAAACAGCAGAATTATCATAAATACAAAAGAAAGAAAAACAAATCACAATAAATTATATATAGTGTTCCCGACTTACAGTAAAAGAGAGCAGCTTTTGCTGTAAACAAAATTGGGTTAAAAACAATTCAAAGAGAGGAACAGGATTGGGCAAGCAAACGTTTTACCAAGACGCCATGCAACTGGCACTCTGGATTCAGATGATATAGTGCATGAGGGTTTACTTCCACCTCTGATCTCAGTACCTTCAGAGCTCATTTGTACCTTTGCCCAGGAGTTTGAGTCTAAACTTGTCAGAAATGGCTCTGCAATGATCAGCAGATGCATGCAGACACAGTCCTGCTGTTGTCTCTGTTAAAGAGGCTGCATGTGTAGGCGTTTGATGATGCAGTTGCCATTTTTCAATCTATTGTTATTCCAGTGTTGTGGATGTGTTACATTGGCCTTAAATGCACTTAACGCATATACAGATATCTTTTAATGCCCAACATTAAGCAAAAATCATTTAAAACCACAGCTTTTCTAACCCAGAGACCTCCCATGTTTCAGTAGTATAATGCAAAACAATTGTCCTATTGCAAGTCTAAACATATTATGAAAAACACATGAAAGTAGATTCTCACTTATGGTAGAAAAATGCCATAAAGTAACAGTAATTTGCAATGCAGTTGATCCATTAATAGAAATGCAACAAATAAACTACGAAGACCAGGCATGCCAACAATTAATGAAGATCTGATCAAATTAAGAGATAAAAAAAAGGCATACAGAGTCATTGGTGTGCTTTGGGAATTACTGTAAGTCCCAAGGCAATACAGTAGAGGTCAGTAATGTGATGACAGTGTTATTGCAGAAATAAATGTAGTACCTCAAGCTGGCCACAGGAGGGCAGACTAAGACAGGGAGATGGTTCAGTTGGAGCTTTGTAGTGTCACACAATCCCATCATCCTAACATATAGTGTTCTCACTATAGACTCATAAATATACTGCCTAGATAGAGCATACACGCACCTATCTACACACACACACACACACACACACACACACACACACACACACACACACACACACACACACACACACACACACATATAAATTAATGGATAAAAAAGCGAGGAGTGATCACCCTGTGGGAGAAGCAGCCTCCTTGCTGCTACTGAGGAAGAAGAGGTGGAGGACATGTGCTTTTTGTTTCATCTCCATTTCCTGGATACTGGCCACATTAGTCACACAGTCGATAAGAGTTTGGTCAGGTCATTTAACAAATGTGATTCCATGGAGGTTTTCATAGTTTAGTTTATCATTATCAGTCTCCACGTGCAACTGGTTGAAGTTGAATGATCATTTAGAAGCAGAAGCGAAGCCTGTATTTGTCTTTTCTTCTCTATACTGACTTTCTTCTGTCTTTGCTTAGTACTGCCAGGGGTCACCCAGGGGCATCTTGGAATCCTGGATGTGCATCTCCACAGGTCGGTCAGGTGGACTCTCCCTCCTGTAAGTTACTGTCTTCTCGTTGCTTGTTGGGATGTATGAAAGGTCCTGAAGGGTGACAAAAATGTGCAGTCAGTAATAGGCATTTCTGTTTTTGTGGGAAGTCATGTGAGTTCAAATTTAGCGCAGTAGAAGAGGATATATCTTCACCTTTAGTCCTTTTATGGGGGTTATGTTGTACAACTTTCTTCTGTCCCTGTAACGTATCCTCATGTTGCTTGTTTGCATATTTTGGCAAAAGTTATTGCTAATTTTGTCTGTTCTACTTCAAATTTAAGAAGCTAAAATTGACCTTTGTTGATAGGCCTACACAACAAAGGTAAATTGTAGCTTCTTAAATGAATGCTCTCTTCTCAAAACTAATTTCTATATTCACAGGTTACAACTTGGTTAGGTTCAGGAAAAGATAGCGGTTTGGGTAAAATGATTTAGTAAGTGGCAAAGTTACGTAACAAATACATACAAACATGAACAGACGTCTCCTGCGTTAAAATCAGTCCCTGAAGAAGTAGAGCTCTTAAACACCTGCAAAACTTCCAGCCAATGTAAATATGAACTTCCTCCTGAGAGTGTTACATCATGCTATAAGTAAGAATGCAAATGTTACCAAAAACAGATGCATACATTTTTAAAGTCTATAATCATCAGCACTGTCATCAAGACTATTCGTGGGGAACGATGAATAATGATGTGTTTTAAAACAATTTCATGCCAGTTTAGGCACACATATATTCAGAAAGCTCATTTCAAATATCCACAGTTTCCTTCTTCTCAAAGGTGCTGTACATCATTGTAAAATCACAAATCTGGACTTTGTTGGTGTCGAGCTGGGAGTTGAGAGGAAATGCAAAATACAGCTGTACTTCTAACAGCAGGCTCACATTTCTCACTGCTGCTTTCAGCGAACACTACACATGAACACAAATATCCCAAAGAGTTGAGGGTTCCCTGTTCCTCTGAGGGCTAAACACCTCCACCTCCTCTCAATTAAACCCTGCTGTGTTGAGGACCGCCTCAAGCAAACCCTGTGGTGGAAAGATCCACCTTGGGACCCGTTATCGCCTCGTGTGAACGAACGGGCTATACGCGAGAGAAAAGTAGCAGATACAACCCGTTTTGTCCTCGTGTAAACGGCACCTTATAGTACATTCACTCAAGCACTGTACCGCTACTTCATACTTCTACTCCACTACATTTTGCATGCAAATAATGACCATTTCACAACCTTAGTTTCTAGTAACTTTGCATATACTATTAATAATACAAATATAAAATCGTGAAATGACCTATGATGTAGGCTACTATGATATACTTGGGAGTATAAAAAGGCATTCAAGTTTTGTCCACCGTTCCCGGCAGCAAAATAAAAATTGTGTTCACATTAATGCAAGACAAATGATAATCCAGTGATTTAATATATATTCCGGAAACAGCTTTTCTGCATGAAGATAACTTTTCTTTCTGGTATTTTAGGTATAAATTGATGATACTTCTTCTATCATTTTACTATAGTAACATTTCGAATTCTACTTTTAGCTGAGTATTTCTACGTTTTAGTGTAATCATTTTGACTTAAGTACAATTCATGAGTACCTTTCCAGTGCAGTGATACACTGTGACCTCAGCAGCGCCCCCTGGTGTCAGGTTCCTCTTCTGTAGCAGCAGCCGGGACACAGCCACCACCACCATCCCGCACAGCACCGTCAGAGCAAAGACACACAGGAACGTTCCCACCAGCCGGCTGTTGCTGGCACACTCTGTGGACACAAACACACACACATTAACTTTTAGTGGCAATAACTGGGACAGGATGGCTCTCACTGTGATGGGCAAAATATTTATATACACACATTTATCCTCTGTGAAACGAAAATACTCAAATACCTAAACTAATAGATCACACACACTGGGGTAATCTATTGAAGTACATTTAGCCTACTCAAGTACTTTACTTAAAGGTCCCTTATTATACTGTTTTTCATCAATATATTATAGGTCTTATAGGTCTTGTATAATTTGCCCTGCATGTCCTCTTTCGCCCTCTGACGCAGATGCTCAGCCTTGAGCAGCCGTTATCTCCCTTAAGGAGGGGCTGCCCTAGCATATTGTTGATGTTACCAGTTTGTGACCGGGCAACTCTCGGTCAGAGATAGTTATCGTTATGGGACACCTGGAACACATCCTTCTCGGGGTGTAGATGACCCCGAGCCATAAGCGACAACAAATGTGATTCAGTGTCCTCAGCTGTTTTGTCTATCTATTGAAGAATGTTGATTATTACACTCTGAACTAGTTAAAACCTCGAGCTACAGGAGGGTTCTTCAGAATTGATTGTGGCATCTCAACCGTGTGGTCAAACTGTGGCCCGTGACATGTCTTGTTAATTCTCCGGCCGAAGCTCCAAATAAACCATCAGTGTTTGCCATCAAAGCTCCAGCTCTCCTCGTGTCTCTCTGAGTCCTGACTCCATTGCTACAGAAGTTTCCCCCACAGGTCTCAGTTATTTACAAAACATGTCTCTGAAGTGTTTGGCTCCAAACACCAAACAGATCATTGCAGCATCCCATAATCCCCTCTGTTTCAGCCCTGTTTCAAAAGTGCTGATTCTCTCTCTGTTACTTTAGATGAAAATAAGGAGCCACTCCCCACACCCCTCTGAGAGATATTTGGTTAAAAAGAACACAATGGTGCTCTAGGAGGAGATTCAGGTGATAAGGTGTGGGGGGGGGGGTTACCTTGGTTGGTTATTGGCTATTGGTTACACAAGCCAAAAAATCGTTATGACATCACAAAGTGGCCAAAATCTGATCAGCTCATTTTCAGACATGTTTTTATATAAATGGATCAGGACAAAAAGTGAGTGAATCTTTTTTCCTGAAACGTTCAGAATCTCTTTACACAGAGGGGACACACGTGTATGTATAAAAGACATGAACATGTGGATTTTGCATAATAGGTGACCTTTAAGTAAGATATTGAACGCAGGACTTTTACGGTGCACACGGTGCCAGTGGTCCGCTGGCTGTGTGTCAGCCGGGCAGCATGTGTGTATGACGGGCTCATCGCTAAACACAAAGGGCCCAAAGAGAGCTCTGACATTTTGTAACAGGGTAACCATGGAGACCTGGCTCCTGCTGCACCCGGGAGGAGTGGGTGTGAGCCGGAAGACAGTGTCCCGTTGGATGGAGGGGTGGGGGGATGAGGGGATAAGGGGAACTCTGGAGGGGGAGGGCGCACACAATGAACAGTGCTGTTCCAAAAATGGGGAAGGCGGCGTTGAACTGTAACACTTGGACGTGCAATTATGTGTGTGTGTTTGTAACCCAAGCCATGTGTGTGTACTAGTGTGTTTTAAATTGTGTGTGTGTGTGTGTGTGTGTGTGTGTGTGTGTGTGTGTGTGTGTGTGTGTGTGTGTGTGTGTGTGTGTGTGTGTGTGTGTGTGTGTGTGTGTGTGTGTGTGTGTGTGTGTGTGTGTGTGTGTGTGTGTGTGTGTGTGTGTGTGTGTGTGTGTGTGTGCTGTGCGTGCGTGCGCGTGCGTGCGTGCTTGTTTGTTTTGTACGGCTGGGAAAGAAAGAAGGTGAGCTGGGAACTGAGGGGAAATGTAAAATGCAGCTGTAACACTGACAGTGGGCTTGCTGACTCAAATACACCAGGGTGCCGTAGTGCAGTAATGGTAGCAACGGAAGTGACCTTGAATCAAGTAATGTGTGTGTGTGTGTGTGTGTGTGTGTGTGTGTGTGTGTGTGTGTGTGTGTGTGTATGTGTGTGTGTGTGTGTGTGTGTGTGTGTGTGTGTGTGTGTGTGTGTGTGTGTGTGTGTGTGTGTGTGTGTGTGTTGACATTGTACCTGCTCTTGTGCTTATGTGAAGCTGCGTCTGACCGGACTGAGAGCTTGTTTGGAAGCGATAGCGACAGCTGTCATTGCTGATGTACATACACTGAATCCACTTCTCCCCTGCTTGGCCTGAAACAGAGAGAGGGAGGGAGTTGAAGTGAGATGTTTTTCATTCCAGACATGTTAAGCCCCAAGCTCTAGTAAATATCCTCCAGGATTACTAAAAACAGAAGAATCAATGCAAGAGAGCTTCTGCGTTTTACAGCTCTTTAGTTTTCACTTTGAAGCTGCACCAATCGATATTTTCCATACTACTCTAACAATGGTCAAATTACTGTAATATAAAAGCTGTCACTGGCACTAACAAATCCAATAAATAGTCTCCCAACTCTGCAATTGCTTTTTCTGCAATTTTCCGCTGCAGTAGGTAGCTTTTTATATTTGAAAAATATCAACTTGTACATTGTTTCTCCAGCACCAAACAGCAGACAGAGAAACTCATTGAATTGACTAGATTTTGGACTAGCATAATGCAGCATTTTAACCTTGCCAGAGCTAAAAGAAGACATTCATGACTCCAAGTCAGCACAAGGTGCAAACACAACACTTCCATATGTCTCTCCCACCTTATATAGCTATAGTTGAAGCTGTGTTTATGACTTTTGGGTCTTGAGTCTGGGATCAATATGCTCTTTCCTTTTAGCTCTGAAAAACATATTTGGTTTAAATATTCACCAGCCGTCTACTAACTTTGTCCATCTGCTGTGTGAACAGGCTGTACTGTTAAAACATGTGCTATAAATGTAATTGGCTAAACTGGCTTCACCTAGAACATCATCCCTGTAGCCCACCAATGATTCACACGTGCTGTTGCAATGTCCCGCCTCTTTTTGAGTGAGGCCGTGAGACAGGTGGCAGTCAACACACTTCCTGAGAGAGAGAGAGAGAG